AGAGAACATTTATCGGCTGCCTCCTGCACATCCCCCACTGGGGATCGAGCACGTGCCCCCACCGGAATGGAGCAATGACTTCCTGGTTCATGGTCAACACTCAACCACTGAGCCACACCGGCCGGGCAGCTCAGCAGGTCTTGACTGCATATCTTCGATAGGCTGGGGGCCATGTGGAAGTCAGCAGCATCCCCAACCCATGGTCCCCGTCTCCTTCTTTACGGAAAAGGCCTTTGGTATCTGGGGACTTGCTCTATCCTCTGACACTGCTCTGTCGGCGCCATCTCTGTTATTTGGTGGCACCAGACTCGGTCTGTTTTGACTGCAGCTCAGTATTCCTTTGGCTGAATGTGATGCAGTCAGTGCTCTCGAGGCTGGCCCGGAGCTGAGTCCTGAAACTGAGATGTTCTCCTTCTTCTGTCATTCCATACGTATTTATTCAATGCCAGCTGTGCGCCCGGGTTTGTGGGGGGCCTAAGGACACAGTCATTACCCTGAGAACAAGTCCCTCTCTTTCTCACTTATGGTTTTTATTTAGTTTACTAGAGGCCCGGTGCATGGAAATTCATGCACTGCAGGGGGGGTCCCTCAGCCCGGCCTGCTCCTCTCACAGTCTGGGAGCCCTCAGGGGCAGGAGGCTACCCAGTGATCAGAGAAAGATTACACCCCATCACACCTCTGCTGCTGCCACTGCCGGCAGCACAAGCCTCGGCCGGCCCGGTTGCCTGAGCCTCGGGCGGCCCTGGGTGGCTGGGCAGCCAACATCCAAGGCTTCCTGTGCCTCAGGCCAGCCCTGGGTGGCTGAGGGGCTGAGGGCAGGTCCAGCCACACTGTGTGCCTGCTGCCTCACCCCGGCTTGGCTGAAAGGATTGGCTGAGGGGACTGGGCACCGCCATCTTTGTGCTGCTATGATGGTCAATTTGCATATTCCCTCTTTATTAGACAGGATTAGTTCCTCTTTCTGTCTTGCTTTCAGAAGGGTGAGACACTTGTCTCCACACCTCTGTTCAGTGTGGGCACCTGAATCTGAGTCACGGGCCGAGGCCTCGCAGGCCCAAGGCAGAAACGTGGAATGTGGGCGTCTCTGCTCCCTGTGTCTCAGCTCCCAGCACATTCCAGGCCCATCGAAGCCACTGGGTCAATATTTGTTAAACTAACCATAAACGAAAGGGGCCTGCCCCACCCACTGCCATAGGCGGCTGGCGTGTGCAGGCAGCGGAGAGGACTGCACTGCCTGGGGAAGGGCCACTAAAACGGGAGTCCATGACACCCCCCCCCCCCCCCGGCCTCCTCTCCTGTCCTGCCTCTCAGCCAGCACCCTCTCACCTACTCACTGAACGCCAAGAGCCTCCAATCCACGGGCGAGGCCTACTGCCTTCATCTACCCTCTCTGAATCTTCCCGCCCCCGCCTCCGCCTCCCTCCTCTGCCCCAGCCACGTGGGCCTTCTTAGCTCTTCTGCCGCATCTGTGTGGCCTGCTGCCTGCCTTGCCTGCCTGCCTGCCTGGCTGCTTCATGTCATCCAGCCTCAGCCAGAGGCCCCCCTAACCCCAGCCCCTCCCCTCCGCCTCCCACTCTAACTACCCCTCCAGACACTGTCTCCTCGCCTTCCTCCCACTCTAACTACCCCTCCAGACACTGTCTCCTCGCCGGCTTGACTCTCAGCATAGTGCCCGTCACTCTGGCCTTTGCTGTCTTCGCTGTCTCTGTGGTCCTCCCTGCTTCTCCCTCCACCCGCTGGCCTCGCCTGAACGGAGGGCAGGACCCACCTGTCTGTCTGGGCCCTTCTCCCATCCCGCTGCAGTTCCTTCTTTTTGTCTGTGACCCAGAGCTCCTGTATAACAGAGACTCTCAGTAAGTGTTGGTTTGGTTTAATAATTATTTAGTGCTACATGCTGTGGCTACAGAGTCAGGGGACAATGATGACCAATGGTCCCACCAGCAGACCAGAGTTTAAAGCGCTCCTTCGCCGGCCGCGGGCTCAGGGGTTAAGTGTTGACCCAGGAGGTCAGGCACATGCCCAGAGGGGGCGTGCAGGAGGCAGCCGATAATTATTTAGTGCTACATGCTGGTATTAGACAGTTAGGAGCAATCTTATTCGCCCTTAAATCTGACTCAAAGGACTAGACTGTGCCGTTTGCGTGTCGATCATGTAATCATCATTGTCCCCTGACTCTGTAGCCACAGCAGGCAGAGCGGCCCAGTTCTCGCGCATCTTTATTGGGGAAAATGAGCCCGTCCAGGCCCTGGTGATGGTGGAGGAACATGTCAGGAAGTGAACTACAGTGCAGAGGCCTGAGCTCAGCTCCAGCCAGCAGGCACTTCTGAGGTCTTTGCTAAGAACAAGCTCAATGCAAAACCTTGAGGGTGCAAAGGCAGTAAGAAACAGGAACCCCAGCCCTGGCCAGTGTGGCTCAGTGGATAGAGCGTTGGCCCATGGACTGAAGGATTCTGGTCAAGGACATGTACCTCGGTTGCAGGTTCCCAGGCCCTGGTCAGGGTGCGTGCAGGAGACCAATCGATGTTCCTCTCACATCGATATTTCTCTGTCTCTCCCTCTCTCTTCCCCTCTTGCTAAAACCCAATGGGAAAATATCCTCAGGTCAAGATTGATGAGAGAGAGAGAGAGAGGTGGTGGGGGGGGGGGGGGGGGAGAAGCAGACGCCAGGGAGGGTGAGTGATAAAGTCCTGCGCTAACGAACACAGAGTGGCCGGGCCCAGGGTGGCAGGGCACAGGGTGGTGCCTCCGTGTCCAGCCAGCACTGCCCACCAGGCCTCTCAGCTCACCCCGCTGGGGCAGTCGGAAGTCAGGGCTTTCCCCGCGTCACAGAGGGCGATGCTGGCGCTCAGGGCGGCAAAGCGCCCTCCCGAAGGCTCAGTCCAGGAGGCAGCGCTGGGGGACAGGCGGCCTGCGGACTGGGCCTGGCTGTCTGCTCTGAGCAGCCGCCCAGGGCCTGGGGTCACCAGAGGGCAGGCCGGGCCTTCCCGCCAGCAGACCAGAGTTTAAAGCGCTCCTTCGCCGGCCGCGGGCTCAGGGGTTAAGTGTTGACCCAGGAGGTCAGGCACAAGCCCGGGTTGTGGGCTCGATGCCCAGAGGGGGTATGCAGGAGGCAGCCGATACATGATTCTCTTTCATCATGGATATTTCTGTCTCTCTCTCTCTCTCCTCCTCTCTGGATCAATAAAAATATATTTAAAAAGAAAGAAAGCTCCTTCTCCCAATGACTATCTGCTGAGTTCAGCCATGGGAGCAGGCAGCACACAGGGACTCCCTGATCTGGCCACTCACCCAGGCGGAGGAGACACACTCTAACCCCGCAGGTGGGATGGAACATTCCCTGCCAGCATCCTCTAGGGCCCCGTGGTTTCCCACCACTGGCGCAGTCAGACCCTCAACACAGCGCCGGGAGGCCCTGGCTGGAGACCTCGCATTTGGACCTGCTGTCCCCAGCCTATGCGGCCCGGCCCTGGGCCCCACCGGGAAAGGGGGAGAGACGAGGGAGGCTCTGGAAGGCGCAAGAGCAAGAGCAGGTTTCAGGGAGCATGCACACTGGCTGCACACGCTTCCCGCCCTTCTCCTGGCAGGAAGCGTAGCGTGTGCATGGCTCCTTCCGTGTGTGCCGTGTGGCCCTATGTGCCAAGCCCACACAGGAAGCCGTGTGACTGAGGCAGTGCGGGGCCTGTGTGCCTCTGTGAGGCCCTCTGGGAGCTCCGTGTCTGTCTGCTCGCCTTATTAGGAGTGACATCCATGCAGCACAGCATTCACACCGGGCCTTACCACTCAGTGACTGTTTGCACATATTTCCCCCCCCCCCGCCCCCGGGGCAGCCGGCACTAAGGTTAAGACCTGGGAGTTCGCTGACATTCCACATGCTCCTCAGCTCCGTGCCGCCCCCGCTGCTCCCCGGGGTGAGCCTGCTGATCTCTATCCCTGAGCACCCGCGTTCCCCCGGACCTGAGCGCAGTCAGGCAGAACGCTCTTCTGCGTCCGGTTTCCCTCCTTCTGGAGTCTGAGATTCCTGCGGGAGTCACGGCACTGGCGTGGTGCCGCTGGGTGAACAGACCATGGCTATCGGTCCCCTCCACCAGGGACTGACCCAAGGCTCGGCTGTTGTGCGTGAAGCCGCTACCACATTGGTGTGCAGGCTTTTCGCTGGGAATATGCGCCTGTTCTCTTGCTCCAGTTGTGGGTCATGGCACCAGAGTCGCCATAGGTTTAGCTTCTGTAGGTTCAGCCAAATCTTCTCCAAAGTATTTATTCTCCCACCAACAACGTCTGAGAACGCCGGTTGCTCCACATCCTCATCAACTTGGCATTGTCAGGCTTTTTGTTTTGTTACTCCTCACCCGAGGATATTTTTAGGGAAAGTGGGAGAGAGAGGGAAAGACAGAGACACATCGATGTGAGAGAGACACATCGATTGGCTGTCTCCTGAGGAGCCCTGACCAGGGCGTGGGCCAGAGAGGAGCCTGCACCAAGGTACCTGCCTTGACCAGAATTGATCTCGGGACCCTTTGTTCCGACACTCCGTCCACTGCGCCACACTGGCCAGGCCTGTCAGGCTTTTTAATTTTATCCATCCCAGTGTCTGTGTGGAGATAGTTCCTGGTGGGTTGAATTTGCATATTGAGTACCTGGGGGCATGTGCTGGCATGCCCCCGTGTGGAGGACTGTTCCGGGGTTTGCGGAATCACACCCATGAAAACAGACAGATGACAGGTTCAGCGGACAGGAAAGCAGAATCATCTCCAGGAACTCAGCAGCACACACCAGGCGGCTACCACCACCTCTGCCCTGGCCACTGCCCACCGATGCGGAAACGGTTGCTCCAGGCCGCATGGATGAAACCAAATTCCATTTCTGAGCCAAGTGCTCGGATGTCACAGGACTCCCCCCTGCTGCGCTCCGCAGAGAAGCGAGAATCAGGGCCTTCAGCCCCAGCACGCGAGGCTTCTCCCGCAGCCTCCGCTGTTTTCCTCCCTTCAGGACCCCGGCAGCGCCCGGCCCCTGAACAGCGCCCGGCCCCCGGACAGCGCCCGGCCCTGCGGTAAGCTGGGTCTGCCTTCCTTGGTCTGAGTTTCAGTCCGTCCCCGGGAGGAGGGGAACCTCCCTCACCGGCCCTCACACCTCCATTCAGGGCTCGGTGCTGGGGGACCCCACCCCTCCATCCATCGCGCAGCAGACACATGGGAAACACCGGGAGAGCAGGGCTCCTCTAGGGGGGAAGGCCTGGCCTGGGGCAGCACCGGCAGGCCTGAGCCCGAGGGCACGCTTCCTCCCCTCTTCCTTCCGCACGTGCTCTGCGCCTCCAGCAGCACCCGTGCCCGCCTGCCCTGCGGGCCCGGGCGGGTCCTGGCGGGACCGGTGACAGTGGCAGCCGGGCAGCGAGGCCTGTGCTGGGAGCCCACTGCTGCCAGGCTGCCAGGGACACGCCGGCTGCACGGCCCCCGCAGGTGGGACAGGAAATGGCCATTTACTGACTCACAGGAGAAAGCTGGGTAACAGACAGTGTTCCCCAACTTAATTTCCTCCCAGGCCATGTTCTTCCTTTTCATATGTTCAATGCTCTCAGGGAGGAAGGGGAGGTGAGAGAGAATCATTGATGAGCTGCCTCCTGCATGCCCAGTGGGGATCAAGCCAGAAACCTGGGCATGTGCCCTGACTGGGAATCGAACTGTGGCCTCCTGGTTCATCGCCGAGGCTCAACCCCTGAGTCACGCAGGCCAGGCTCCCCTTCCGTTTTCTTAAACCACCAATACCCGCTCCCGACCGCAGAGCTCCTTGGCCTCACTCACTCTGGCAGCATTTTCACCTCGGGCCGCAGTTCACAGTGGCCACAGAGACGTCACCTCCCACAGGTTGTAGGCCGTGGGGTCCGTGTGTCCCTCAGGCCCCTCAGCTGGCCGAGGGCGCCCCACCCAGTGAGCCCGAGACCGTTGACCAAACTAGCCCAGTCTGCACCAGTGCCCGCGGGGAGGGGGGACGGGAGGGGGCGCCAGTGCCCAGGCAATCAATTCCCATCTGAAATCAATCTACGTATACATAAAAGCCTAAGCGGCCAGAACAACCAAGCAACCAGTCACTGTGATGTGCACTGACCACCAGGGGGCAGACGCTCACGGCAGGAGCTTCCCCTGGTGGTAGGTGCGCTCCCACAGGAGGGGCGCGGCTCAGCCAGAAGCCGGGCTCAGGGCTGGTGAGTGCAGCCGCGGTGGTGGGAGCCTCTCCCCTCTCCGCCCGCAGAGGCCACTTCGGGCCTGACGGTGGTGCCGCTGTCCGCCTCTCCCCACACGCATCTCCTTAAAGACAAGCGTTCCTGACACAAAGAGCATTCGCCGGAGCGTATTTTTGTTTTGTTGTTTTTTTTCCAAAATATATTTTTACTGATGTCAGAGGGGAAGGGAAAGGAGATAGAGACATCAGTGACGAGAGAATCATTGATTGGCTGCCTCTTGCACTCCCCCTGTTGGGGATCCAGCCCACAACCGGGCCTGTGCCCTGACTGAAATTGAACCGTGACCTCCTGGTTCATAGGTCAACGCTCAACCCCTGAGCCACTGACAGAGGCCCAGCCCTCCTGGTTAAATTAAAAGAGAAGTCAGGAGCCCAACTGGTGGGCTCAGTGGCTAGAGCATCACCCTGCGGAACAAAGGGTCCCGGGTTAGAGTCTGATCGAGGGCAGGTATCACAGAGATGCTTCTCTCTGTCTCTCCCTCTCCCTTCCCCTCTCTAAAGTCAATGGACAATGTCCTCGGTGAGGATTAGCCAGAAAGGACACGTCAGGAAGGAGGGTGGATGGGAGTGAGGTGCAGGACGGGGCCTCTCCCAGGGCAGAGGCAGGGAGGCTGGAGGGGAACATCCGAGCGCCCATGGGGTACGGCAGTGGGCGCCGCGGTCCAGGGCTCCCCTGAGGACTGCGCGGAGCTGGTGCTGAGGAGGCTGAGCTGTTCGGAGGGAGTGCCCCCCCAATGCTTACACAGCTCCCCCCACCCGGGCAGGGCGACCGGGCCTGGGCACCAGAGGCCGCCCAGAGCTGATGCAGGCCCTTGCCCTCCCCTCACAGACATGGCCCGCCGGCGCAAGCCCCGCACACCCCTGGAGACCTTCAAGAGGGTGGGGGTCCCCATCCTCGCAGCACTGCTGAGCCTGGCCATCATCGTCATCCTGGCTGTGATCAGTAAGTGGAACCCTCACCCTCCTTACGGCCCCCACCAACATTCACCCTCAGTACGGACCCCACCTTCACCCCCACAGTAAGTGGCAGCCCCCTCACCCCTCCCCTGACCCCACCTCCGAGTGACCCCCTCGCCTTCCATCTGTCCCCCTGAGTCAGGCGGCCCTGCTACTGTGTTGCAGCCACAGGCACCGCCACTGCTTTGAAGGGGCTCCTGTAAGAAGGAGGACAGCCCGGCTCGTATGGCTCAGGGGATGATCATCGACCTATGCACCACGAAGTCAGGGTTCGATTCCTGGTCAGGGCACAGGCCCAGGTGTGGGCTGGATCCGCAGTGTGGGGTGTGCAGGAGGCAGCCGATGGATGATTCTCTCTCATCACGGAAGCTGGTCTCTCGGGCCTCTCTGAAATGAATATTTTTTTTTATTTTTTTATTTTTATTTTTATTTTTTGTTTGTGTGTTTTTTTATTTTAAATAAATCTTTATTGTTCATATTATTACATATGTTCCTCACTTTTTTTCCCCCTCCATTGCTCCCCTCCACCAGGTTCCCACCCCACCCTCTGGCCTTTCCCCACCTCCCATTGTCCTCATCCATAGGAGCACAGTTTTTGTTCAGTCTCTTCCTGCACCCCCCATTCCCCTTTTCCCTGAGAATCATCAGTTAATATTGTTCATCAGATTTTTTAATTCCCTTGGTTTTTAGATTCATTTGTTGATAGTTACGTATTTGTTGTTCATAATTTTTATCTTTATTTTCTTCCTATTCCTAAAGAACCCCCCTCAGCAATTCATATAATTCTCATTTGATGGTGATGGTGATGAACTCCTTTAGCTTTTTTAATTTGTAAAGCTCTTTATCTGGCCTTCAATTTTGAGTGATAGCTCTGCTGGGTAGAGTATTTTTGGCTGTAGGTTCTTGCTATTCATCATCTTGAATATTTCTTGCCATTCCCGTCTAGCCTGCATGGTTTCTGTTGAGAAATCAGCTGACAATTGTATGGGTGCTCCTACCTGCTTTTCTCTTGCTGCTTTTAATATTCTCTCTTTGTCTTTTGCTCTTGGAATTTTAATTATGGTGTGTCTTGGTGTGGTCCTCTTTGGATTCCTCTTGTTTGGTGTTCAGTGTGCTTCCTGGACTTGTAAGTCTAATTCTTTCACCAGGTGGGGGAAGTTTTCTGTCACTATTTCTTCCAATATGTTTTCAGTATCTTGCTCTCTCTCTTCTTCTGGGACCCTCATAATTCTGATGTTGGTTTGTTTGAAGTTGTCCCAGAGTTTTCTTACATTATTTTCAACTTTCTGGATTCTCTTGTCTTCTTGCTTCTGCGGAGAAGTGTCTTCTGGCTCTTTATGTCCCAAATCTTTGACTTGATTCTTGAGATCTTCTGTTCTGTTTTTAGGACTCTGTATAATATTTTTTATTTCAGACAATGTATTCTTTGTTTCTAGTTGATCCCTTTTTATTTGTAGTTGACCCCTTTTCATATCCTTATAGGTCTCATTTATTTTTATTGGCCTTTTCTAGGAAATTCTTGAACAACCTTATAAGTGTGATTTTGAACTCTATATCCAGTTGCTTTTTGTCCTCCATTTCTTTTGTTTGTGATCTTTTTCCTTGTCTCCTCATTTTCGATGCTTCCCTGAGTTCGTAGGATAGTTTTGTGTGCTGGGTGTCCTATATGATTCAGTGGGTCAGCCTCCCAGTTATCTGAGGTGGACACTTTTGGTGCACCCGTTTGTGGAGTGTGTGTACAGCCTTGATTGTTGTTGGTATCACTGGGAGGATCTGACTTCCAGGCCAATTGGTTGTGAGGATCAGCTATGTCTATGCCGGAAGACAGCCTTATTCAACTAGTTGAAATGAATATTTTTTTAAAAAGAGACAGAGAGGGAGGCCATGATCTCAGCCCATTTGTCTGGGGGGCACCTCCACCAATGATCTCCTCTACAGGGAGGTCACACACACACTTACACACTCATAACACACGCACTCAGGCAGGCCCTTTGCCCACATCTGCTGACAGAGCTGAGTGGCCAGCAGCGCCCTGGCTGGAAGAGCAGAGCATCTGCCGTGGGGGGTGGAGAGCAGGCGTCAGGCCCGAGCAGAGCACACCCTCCCGCCTTAGCATGTGTTCGTGGTCCTCATGTTCCAGCGCCTGAGCCTGTCTGGTCGTAGGCAGGCCCCTAGCCCGAGGAGAAACGTGAATGAGCAGGGGTTCCCGCAGTCCCTCCCTCCCACCCTTTATTCCAGGGTGAAGTCCTCGCCTCCCTCCCCACAGCCACACAGGTTCCTGCTCAGCTGCCACCGGGAGGAAAGCACGGTCCGGGGGACTGGGCGGGGCCCTGGCAGCCACTGCTCCTGTGAGGCCTGCGGAGGGCCTCAGCCTCTCTCAGCCTTGGTCTTCCCGTCTGGGAATGTCCTGCCTCCTCCTCGGAGCATCATAGAGTTGAGGGGATAGCGTGTAAAGTGCCCGGATAAACACGCGGGGACCACGGTGCAGGGTGCAGAGGAGCAGCCAAGGCCACACACCTGCTCGCTGGCCAGGAGGCCCTCAGGAGCCGGCACGCGGCACCCCCTCACGGAGGACACTCAGCGGTCTCCTGTCAAGTCCTCATTCTGTCTGAGCGCCGGGGCCCGGGCAGGAGGCACAGCCGTGGGGATGCTAAGCCAGGCCCAGCCCTGAGCCGGCCCATCGCCACCTGCGGCCGTGGAGGCAGCCGCACAGCGCGGACACCCGGACCCAGAGCCCCGGGGGCAGAGGGCAGGCCGCCCTCACCTCGGCCGGTGTGCCCCCGAAGGTGGAGGTTTCAGGAGCCGTGGCGGGCCACCCTAAGCCCAGGCGGGCCAGACTGAGCTACATGAGCTCTCCTTCGCCGCACAAGTGCTCGCCACAGCGGCCAGCGAGGACCCAGGTCCCCCGGAGCCGGCAGGCCCAGGGCACTGTGTAGACCTGGGCGCTCCCTGTCCCTGGGCCCTGGGTCAGCGCCCAGAGCAGGTGACCTGAGCGTCCAGCCTGGGTCAGGCTCCCTTGGCCTCTGGGGTCTCACCTGGTGACACCGTGTCCCAGGAGGCTAGTGCCCACACACCAAACTCTGAGTGTCTAGGGTAGGGGTGTCGAACTCAATCAGAGAAGGGGCCAAAATCTAAAATCCAGCCTAAATCGCGGGCCGAATGGTTTACTGAACAGTCATAAACTGTCATTGTGATGGAAACGCAGCGGAGTGCAGTGATGACAGCGCGGTGCGGGCCACATTGCAAGGCCTGGCGGGACGGATTTGGCCCGCGGGCCTTGTGTTTGACACACGTGGTCTAGGGCATATCGGACTTCTCCCTCACCTCCCCCAGGCGGGAGCAGCAGAGCCAGCAGCAGGGTGACATTCCAGCTCCTCGCCGAGGTGTGAAGGGACAGCAGAGAGCTTGGGAGCCAGACAGGCCCTCTCTGAAATCCCGACTCTACCCCTCAGGTGCTGTGGGGTGTCGGGAAACAAACCCTCACTCTCTAACCTCCTTCTCTGATTCCCTGCGGGTTGGTCATGGCTTCTGCCTCCTGATGGGGGCCAGGGCAGCGGAGGACCCCAGGAAGCTCTGTGCAGTGAGACGTGGGGGTGCGTCAGGCTCGTCACCGCTGCTCAGGCCGGGGGTCTGGCTGGCTACAGAAGCGCTCCGGGGCCCAGGGGGCGCTCGGCCTGCAGGGAGGTTAGGGAAGCGGTGAGCGGTGAGTTCCCTGCGGAGGCAAAGTGGCAGCTCACCCCGTCCCCCAGGCAGCAGAGGAGCCACAGCCTGGGAGGCAGCAGGCGGGAGGCAAAGCCAGCAACGCAAAGCATCAACCCGGGGATATACTCCTGGAAGGGGGTTCCCTGGTGCAAATGGCAGTTCCATATTTAATTTTTTAGGAAACTCCATTCTGTCCTCCACAGTGGCTGCACCAGTCTGCATCCCCGCCAGCAGTGCATGAGGGCTCCTTTTTCTCCGCATCCTCCTCCATCACTTGTCGTTTGTTTACTTGTTGATGATAGCCATTCTGACAGGTGTGAGATGGTACCTCATGGTTGTTTTGATTTGCATCTCTCGGATGATTAGTGACTTTGAGCATGTCTTCATATGTCTCTTGGCCTCCTGTATGTCCTCCTTCAAAAAGGGTCTGTTTAGATTCTTTGCCCATTTTTTTTTATTCCATTATTTATTTTCCTTTTGTTAAGTTGTATGAATTTCCTGTAAATGTTGGAGATTAAACCCTTATCAGAGAGAACACTGGCAAATATGTTCTCCCATGCAGTGGGCTTTCTTGTTGTTTTGTTGACAGTTTCTTTTGCTCTACAGAAGCTTTTTATTTTGATATAGTCATATTTGTTTATCATCTCCTTAGTTTCCATTGTCCCAGGAGCTGTAACGATAAAGATATTGCTACAACAAATGTCTGCTATTTTGTTGCCTATGGCTTCTTCTAAGATTTTTATGATTTCCCACTTAAACATTTTATTCATTTCGAGTTTATTTTTGTGTATGGTGTAAGTTGGTGATCTAGTTTCATTCTTTTGCATGTATCTGTCCAAATTTCCCAGCACCATTTACTGAAGAGACTGTCTCGATTCCATTGAATGCTCTTGCCTCCTTTGTCAAATATTAATTGAGCGTAGTGGTTTGGGTCGATTTCTGGGTTCTCTGTTCTGTTCCACTGGTCTATATGTCTGTTCTTGTGCCAGTACCAGGCAGTTTTGAAAACAATCGCTTTGTAGTATAGCTTGATATTTGGTATTGTGATCCCTCCAACATTGTTCTTCTTTCTCAAGATTGTTGCAGCTATTCAGGGTCTTTTTTTATTTCAGATGAATTTTTGGAGAATTTGTTCTAGGTCTTTAAAGTATGCCATTGGTATTTTAATGGGCATTGCATTGAATTTATAGATTGCTTTGGGTAGTATGGACATTTTAATTATGTTGATTCTACCAATCCATGAACATGGTATGTTCTTCCATTTGTTCATGTCTTCCTCAATCTCTTTTTTTTAGCATACTAAAATTTTCTGAGTGCAAGTTCTTTTTCTCCTTGGTTAAGTTTACTCCTAAGTATCTTAATTTTTTTGTTGCAATAGTAAATAGGATTGATTTTTTAAATTTTAATACCTTAGACAATTGAATTAAATTAAATTAAAAACACATCAACTTCTCCTGGGTCTTCCCAGATCAGAGCCTCCTGCTAGAGCCACACGTGCAGTGGCCGAACGCTCAGTCTGCAGACCTCCCAGTGCCCCGGAGGGCGCACCGCCCTCTGCGCCGGTGGGGACACTGAGCCTCAGAGCGTGTGCGATCGGCTGGAGTCGCACAGCAGGGCCAAGCCAGCTCTCGGGCCTCCAGACTCCAGGCCCAGCTTGGCTCCTTTTTCTGTTTAATTCTCACATTTTCCATTGATTTTAGAGAGAGTGGAAGAGAGAGAGAAATAGTGATGGGAAAGAAGCACATCGATTGATTGCCTCCTGCACATGTCCCAACCAGGGCATGTGCCCTTGACCAGAACCGAGCCCGAGACCCTTCAGTCCACAGGCTGACACTCTATCCATTGAGCCACACTGGCTAGGGCACGAGTCTCCTCCTTTCTCACAGGCCTGTGCCGACCTTGGGGGTGTGAGGCGAGGGGGCTCTTGTCTACGTTTCTCCACCCTCTGTGCCCCGTTACACACACACACACACACACACACACACACACACAGTATCTCGCTGAACTGCTCTGCCACCTGTGGGCCTGGCCCAGGCTGTTTTACAGAGAAGACAGCTCTACCAGCCGCTCGTGGCAACGCTGAGTCTGGGACCGGGTCTGCCTGGCTCCACGCCCAGTGCGTGTCCAGGGAAGCTCAGCCCTCTCTCCCCTGCCCTCGCCTTCCAGTCAAGGTCGTCCTGGACAAGCACTACTTCCTCTGCGGGCGGCCCCTGCACTTCATCCCCAGGCGGCAGGTGTGCGACGGCCGGCAGGACTGCGCCGCGGGGGAGGACGAGCAGCTGTGCGTGGAGACCGTCCCCGAGGGCCCCCCGGCGCCAGGTGAGGCGCTGAGGGCGGGCAGGGCTCCTCGGAGCCCCCGCCCCTGCCAGCTGGCACCCCTGTCCTGCGGGTCCTCACAGCAGGACCAGCGCTGTGCCACGTGGCACCGAGGAAGCCCGGGTCAGGTGGCCTGGGGGATGCCGTCCTCTGTTTCCTCCGGAGGCCAGAGGGCTGAGGCCACTCACCCTCCCGTCCCCAGGCACGTGTCACCCGGGCGCGCTGAGTGACAGGACGGAGCCAGGCTTTGGAGGCTGCGAGCCACTCTGAGCCTGAGACCGTGCTCTTCCTCACACTGGGCTCTGGAGATGGGCGACTGAGGCTTTTTGTTTTGTAATGTTTTTATTGATTTCAGAGAGGAAGGAGAGGGAGAGAGAGAGAGAGAGAGAGAGAAACATCAGTGATGAGAGAGAGCCATGGGCCAGCTGCCTCCTGCACATGCCCTGCTGGGGCTGGAGCTCACACCCCAGGCATGTGCCCCAACTGGGTGTCCTGACCGGAAGTTGAACCGTGACCTCCTGGTTCATAGCTCTACGCTCACCCCTGAGCCACGCCGCCAGGTGGTGGCGGGGCTTTTAGGAGCGGGTTGAGTGGCGTCCTGTGTGTTGGGGTTTTTATAAATCAGAAGTCAAACACCTACGGGCACCCCAAGTCCTCGCTCATGCTCCCCTCAGGCCTCGGGGTCCCTCGGTGAGGAGGTCCCCAGGCGGGGCAGGCTGTGTGAGCCGGTGGGGCCATGCAGTACATCATCCAAGCTGGATCCTCGAGGGCGGGAGGAGGAGCTATTGATAATGATGCCCGGAAGCAGGCAGAGTGGAGACGGGCCCAGGAGGTCTGGTCTCCCCAGGACACAGGCTCAGCCAAGCAAAGGCGGGTGTGGAGCCGCCCTGGTGGCGGGAGGGCTGGTGGTCCGTGATGCTCCGGGCAGGGTGGGGTTGGGGATGGAGGGAAGGAGCTAGTCTCCATGTCTCCCAAGGGAAACGGGCAGTGGGCCCTCGCAGCTGACCCAGCTTCCCCCCTGCAGCCCGCCTCTCCAGCGACAGGTCCACCCTCCAGCTGCTGGACCCAGCCACGGGGACCTGGGTCTCCGCCTGCTTTGACAGCTTCACGGGAGCCCTGGCCCAGACTGCCTGTGGGCTGATGGGCTTTCACAGGTACCAGCCCAGCCTCCGAGGCGGTCCCCTCCCCCCTGGGGCCTCCTCCCTCACTGCAGCCCTCCCGCCTTCCCTCTGCTTCCTTCTCCTCTCCTTTCCTGAAAGCCCAGGTGTGGGGAGACAGACAGCTGCCTCCCAGCGGTCACGGACAAGCCTCCGTTCAGGCTCCAAAGCCTCGGTGCGCTCAGGAGCCGCTGGGACGAGCACTGCCAGCCTCATGGGGAGAATCTGAGATGCCAGGGAGAGAGCCTGGCCCACTCACCCCAGCTCCTCGGCAGCTCCCCGTCCCCAACTCCAGCTCACTCCTCCTCCTGCACCACCGTCCCTCCCAAAAGCAGTCTTCTGGGTCAAATTTGGTTTGAACAAACTCCATCTCCCTGGGTTCCATCAGCAATCCCTGCTCTCTCAGCAAATTCAAAAGCAGTCCCAGGTGGTCAGTGGTGAAGAAGGATCTCCATGTATAGAAGCCTAAGCGACCTTTACTACCCATTGACCTGACTGGCGGACCAGTCGCTATGATGCACACTAACCACCAGGGAGCAGACACCCAATGCAGGAGCTGCCCCCTGGTGGTCAGTCTGGGTGGGAAAGGCCCAATCACTAGCCAGGCCGAGGGACCCCTCCTGTGCACAAATTCATGCACTGGGCCTCTAGTGTAATTATAATAAGGATGCATTATATATCTATTTATATTCATCTGATCTTGGCTAAAGCCAAAAATATATCTATTTTAAATATATTTTTAATTTATTTCAGAGGGGAAGGGAGGAGAGGGAGAAACATTAGTGATGAGAAAAAAATCATTGATTGGCTGCCTCCTGCATGCCCCAAACTGGGGATTGAGCCTTCAACCTGGGCCTGTGCCCTGATCAGGAACTGAACCGTGACTTTCTGGTTTATAGGGTTGTGTGTGTGTGTGTGTGTGTGTGTGTGTGTGTTTTGTTTGTTTTGTGTGTGTGTTTTAATATCATGTGTTTTATTTAGTTATTTTTATTTATGTATTTTATTTATTTATATATTTTTATTTATTTCAGAGAGCAAAGGAGAGGGAGAGGGAGAGATAGAAACATCAATGATGAGAGAGAATCATTAATGCCTGCCTCCTGCACACCCTCCTGCTGGGGATCAAGCCTGCAACCTGGGCATGTGCCCTGACTGGAATTGAATCCAGGGCCCTTCCGTCTGCAGGCTGATGCTCTATCCACTGAGCCAAACCAGCTAGAACTGGTTTATAGGTTGGCGCTTAACCACTAGGCCACACCGGCCAGCCCATTGTGTCTATTTTAGAAATGGGTTTGGAGAAAGGAAGTGACCTCCTGTGTAGCTGGGAGGGAGTGGCGGGGGTCTGTGTGCAGGCCCTCGGTTCCTGGGCACAGGAGTTCTAGCAGGCTGGCTGTTTCTCTGCCCCGGTGTGCCGTCTGAACGGGGGGAGTGGCCCCTGTGAGGGCCCAGCCAGAAGGGACTGGAGGTCCAGGCACTCAGCTGCGGAGGGGGGTGGCCTCTCCCTGACAGGCCCCCGACTTCGTGATTCTGGGGAACTGCCCAGAGACAGGCAGGAGTGATCGGAGCCAGGCCCACCCCAGTCACCCAAGCACTCTCCCTCCGCCCCTGGAGCAGCCTCCCGGTTCCTGTCCAATGGCTGCTCCAGGCGGCCGTCCCTGACCCATCCCACCGGCCCACCCCGCTCTGGGTGCCAGCTTCTGCTGGTCCCGGCCCCAGGAGCGACTCCCAGCGCCTCCGGAGAGAAGGGGCCAGTCTCTCCATGTCCTTCCTGTCATTTTGAGGAGGCGGGGAGGCTGGCCCCACCCTGCTCCTCTCCCCGCTCCCCGCAGCTGGGCCCTGCAGGCTGCACGTGGTCGGGAGCAGGGCGGCCTGGAGTGCCCTCAGGCAGCGCGCTCCCTAGCTCCCCTCCAGCTCCACACCACCTGCCCCTGAGCTCTGCCAGGCCTCAGCCGGCCGAATGGTCGCCAGGATGCGACCCGTAGCTGCCCTTTCCTGGGCTGTCCTGGCCACCCTCATCCCTGCTCCCGGGCCTCAGACTCCTCTATGTTCCTTCTTCCGCCTGGACAGGAGGCCTGCCTGTCCCAGACCACAGCCCTGCACGGTGAGCAGCCAGAGGGCCCTGGAGACTGTCCGCCCCTCACCTTGCAGAGGAGAAGGGAGGCGCAGGGCGGCCTCGAGGGCGGGGCCTGCCCCCTGGTACTCCCAGCCCGTGTGGTGCCTGGACAGACACCTCAGTCCTGAGGGCCTCACCACAAAGCCGAGCATGCCGACCCAGTCCTCCGGAGGCGGCGCCAGACCCAGCGCCAGGTCCCCGGCTGGGACTGGGAGGACGTGCCGGTCAGCCAGAGCCGAGGTTGGTCTGGTCGCTGCGGGCAGAGCTTGTGCTGGCCTGACTGTGCGGGGAAGGATGCGAAGAGTGAAGAAATATGGGAAAGCCCTGGCTGGTGTGGCTCAGTGGATAGAGCGTCGGCCTGCCAACTGAAGGGTCCTGAGTTCAATTCCCAGTCAGGGCACATGCCCAGGTTTCAGGCTTGATCCCCAGAAGAAGGTGTACAGGAGGCAGCCGATCAAGGATTCTCATCATTGATGTTTCTCTCTCTCTTCCTCTCCCTTCCTCTCTGGCATCAATAAAAATATATTTTACCAAAGAAAAGAAAGAAACGAAGGGAAGGAGGGCAGTCATTGGGGATAAGCCAGGGTTTGGAAGAAGAAGGGCCGCCTGGCGGAGAGAAAGGAGGGGGTCCAGGAGTGGTGCTGCCGGGACTCTGTGAGGGCCGCGAGCTCGGTCCTGAGCTCCGGGGGTGTAGACGCACCTCCACCGCCGTGCAGACGAGGAGCCTTAGGGACCCCGTCCCCCCGCCCCCTCCCTGCCTGAGTGCAGGCACCCTGGGTCCTGTGGGCCCCTGGGCCTCCCGGCCCCTCGCTGTGAATGGAGAGGGCCAGAGCTGGGAGTTAGGAAGGCGTCCCTAACATCTCTCCAAAGCTCTGTCCGGACTGTCTCCCTGCCTGGGAGGGCGAGGCCACCAGCTCTGCGCCCGGAGGGGCTCCCTCAGGACCACCCCCGCGGACCACCCCTGCCCCCTGTGGCGCCCACGGTGCAGTCTCCGCCACCCTCTCTCCCGAGTAGGGGCTGGTCCCACTCTCGGTTCTAAACTCCTGCCCTGACTCACATCTCTCCCCTGCGACGTGAGCAGCAAGCCCACCTTCCACGCCGTGAAGATCCGTCCAGACCAAGGGCTGGGCGTGGCTGTCATCACCGCGGCCGGCCAGGAGCTCCAGGTGCAGAGCCCCAGCGGGTGAGTGAGGGCCGCCCGGCCCCTGACCCTCACCCCCGAGGTGCTTCAGGGCTGCGCGGCCCGGCCCGGGCGTGTGCCCGCGACAGGAAGATGGCAGATAGCGGGCGGGAGAGCCACAGCTCTGAGATCGTCCATGCTGACTCTTGTTATTTTGTGTGTGTGTGTGTTTTAATATGTTTTTATTGATTTCAGAGAGGAAGGGGGGGAGAGAGAAGGAGAGAGAGAGAGGTCAATGAGAAGAGAGAATCCGTGATCGGCTGCCTCCTGCATGCCCCCCGCCCTACCACCCCTCGTGGGGATCAAGCCCACAGCCCGGCATACACCCTGACCAGGAATCGAACGTGACCTTCTGGTTCACAGGCAACTCAACCACTGAGCCTCGGCGGCCAGGCTTGACTTTTTAAATCCATGGACAGCTGGACAGAGTACACATCCACACCTTGGTGGCCTTGCCATCAGCCGACGAGTAAAACCGTCTCTTCCCATCGCCCACGCTTCCTGCTATTGCCCGGGCCACTGGCTTCCCCCCCCACCCCCCAGCTTCCGGCAGACCCCGAAGTGGCTGGTCTCCACGCCTAGCCTTGAGTCAGAGTCACATGTGACAGAGCCTCCAGGCAGCAGGCGGCTCCGAGAGGCTGCTGTGCTTTTATTCATCGAGGAGCACGTCTTGCAGAGGACAGCCTGGGAGCGGGTGGTCACTGTCCGATTCCCTCGCCATCCCGTCCTTCTCGGGCGAGGCTGCCGCCCAGCAGGTGCTGTTCCAGCTCTGCTTCTCCTCGCAGCAGCCGAGAGCGGTGGACTCTGCCTGGCCCCAGCAGGTCCTGGACGCCTGTCACTGGGGCTGTGGAGTCCAATCAGATTAACTGGAACTGTACCGAGGGCAGTGCAGCTTCCCTGCAGCCCCTGCAGAGGCCATCTTCTCAGGCTGGGAGGGGACTGGAGTCAGCGTCCAGGAGGCCCAGGGCCCACCTCCCAGCAGGCAGACAGCGGGCAGACAGCAGGCAGACAGCAGGCAGACAGCAGGCAGACAGCGGGCAGATGTAGGAAGACAGCAGACAGACAGCAGGCAGACAGCGGGCAGACAGCGGGCAGACAGCAGACAGACAGCAGACAGACAGCGGGCAGATGCAGGCAGACAGAAGACAGACAGCAGGCAGACAGCGGGCAGACAGCGGGCAGATGCAGGAAGACAGCAGACAGACAGCAGGCAGATTCAGACAGATAGCAGGCAGACAGCGGGCAGACAGCAGGCAGACAGCGGGCAGACAGCGGGCAGACAGCAGGCAGACAATGGGCAGACAGCAGGCAGACAGCAGGCAGACAATGGGCAGACAGCAGGCAGACATGGGCAGTCAGTGGGCAGTCAGTGGGCAGACAGCGGGCAGACAGCAGACAGACAGCAGGCAGACAGCAGGTAGAAGCAGGCAGACAGCGGACAGACAGTGGGCAGACAGCGGGCAGACGCAGACAGACAGCAGGCAGACAGCGGGCAGACAGCAGGCAGACAGCAGGCAGATGCAGGCAGACAGCGGGCAGACAGCGGGCAGACGCAGACAGACAGCAGGCGTGTCTCCCGCAGACCCTGTCTCTCGGGCTCCCTGGTCTCCCTGAGCTGCGTGGGTGAGTACCCCTCGTGGAGGGCATGGGCACCAAGGAGGGCCTCATGCTCGTCCTAAACCTCTCAGACTCTGAGTCTCCCTCTGGTCTGTCCCAGCCTCCTCTCTGGGCCTGGGGAGGGTGGGCAATGCTCCTGCGAGTGGTGGGCATGAAGACCCCCCTCGTCCGCACAGCCCCTGCCCAGCGCACTGAAGGCCCAAAGGGGAGCCTGAGGTCTCGTGAGGAAACCTGAGGGCAATGAAAGGCCGGCCAGGCCGGGCAGCCAGGGCCTGACCTCCCAGAGGAAGCTCCGGGAACGAGTGGCCAGGAGCCGGCCCAGAGGGCAGGAGTGTCTGTCTGTCTGTCCATCACTCCCTTCTCAGCTCCCTGAGGCACCGCAGGCACCTGGGCTGAGCTAGCCGATGGTTTAGAAAGTGGGGAGAGCCGTGTGGGGAGAGTTACGTGGGGAGGGCCGCATGCAGTGAGGCGGGTGAAGAGTCTGAGAACAGGGTGGGGGTGCTGGAGGGGGGGGCGGGGAAGGGTGTGGAAGGCCGAGGGTCCCCTAGGAAAGCCAGGATGTGAGAGGAGGCGAGGCGTTAACGTGGGAGACTCACCCAGCGGGGGAGGGACTTGGAGAAGGTGAGCTTAGAGGGGAAGAGCCATTTTTTAAACTTTCTTCCCACTTCCGGCTTCGGGGCGTCTGTTTCCTGGGACTCAGTGGGTGGGACCCCCAGTTCCGCACCCCGTTCAGTTTTAAGGTCACAAACTGCCGCTCCGGGGACTCCGTGTTCACAGCAACGCCAAGCGCACCCGGCGCTGACAAAGGCGAGGGCGGGGGAGCCCTGCTCCGGGCACCCACAGCCCAGGAGCCCTGAGCCCGGCCCTCTCCCTCCGGGCAGCCTGCGGGCACAGCCTGAAGGCCCCGCGCGTGGTGGGCGGGCAGCAGGCCTCCCTGGAGTCCTGGCCGTGGCAGGCCAGCATCCAGTACCACGGGCAGCACGTCTGCGGCGGGAGCATCCTGGGCCCGCACTGGGTCCTCACCGCAGCCCACTGCTTCAGGTGAGGCGCCCGGCCCTCCTCTGCCCGAGAGACCGCGTCCTCGGCCGTGAGACACGGGGCACAGGCCCTTCGTCAGACGCGGTCTGAGCAGAGGGTGGGGTCACCGAGCTTGGCCGCTTCCGGCTGAGAAGCATCAGAAACCATGTCCTCGCCCGCCCTGTCAGGCACCCAGGAAGGCTCTCCCCCTGCCCGGAGGGAGCCTCTCCCTCCTCTCTCCTCTTCCTGCCCCTCACTCCCTCGCTGTGTTCAGAAACTTCCTCCCAGGCCTTTACTTCATTCATTCATTCACTCATTCATTCTGCATCTGAGGAGTTCCCACAAGGTGCCGAACCACACACTGTGTGTCCATGGGCATTAGCCCATAATACCCAGGCCAGTGATTCTTTACGTACTGTATAGTACTGATTCTGAGAGGCGGGAAATGAGAGAGAGAGAGAGAAACGTCAATGATGAGAGAGACTCATTGATGGGCTGCCTCCTGCACGCCCCACACTGGGGACCGAGCCTGCAACCTGGGCACGTGCAGTCCGACGCTCTATCCACTGAGCAACCCAGCTAGGGCTAGGCCAAGTTCTTAACCTGTTTTGAGAGTCTGACAGAAGCTGTAGACCTCTCCTGGGAGCCATCCCTGCGCTGTGTGTGGAAGAGTCACACCAGTACAGTACCTGCCCGCAGTGCGGTGCCGTGCGGGCAGTGCGTGGGGACGCTCCGGGGCAGGCCCAGCCTCCAGTCAGAAGCTCGCAGGGCAGGTGTCCCGGGAAAGGATCAGTCGGGTTTCCTCAGCCGACCCTCCTCCAGCACCCGCCTGCACCATCCTCCCGGCTGAGGCAGGGCCTCCAGCACCCCCTCCCCCCAGGGCCCCGGGCACGGCTGTTGGCACAGCCTCCTCTCGCTTGGCTCTGCCCAGGAAGTATCTGGACGTGCCCGGCTGGCAGGTGAGGGTCGGCTCAGACACGCTGCGCAGCGCCCCAGCCCTGCCCGTGGCCAAGATCTTCGTCACCGAGCACAACGCCACGGCCCCCAAGGAGAAGGACATCGCTCTGGTGAAGCTGCAGGACCCACTCCCGCGCTCAGGTGAGGGCTGGCACCCGGCAGAGCCCTGGGCTCCGGTCACATCCCCGCTCTGCCCCGCGTCGCCCCGGGGCCTTGAGCTCATCACGCTCTGAGGCCCCAGCGCCATCTGCTCCCAGCAAACCCACTCCCCTCCGCTCTGCTCCCGCAGGCCTCGTCCAGCCCATCTGCCTGCCCTTCTGGGACGAGGAGCTCCCTCCGGCCACCCCGCTGTGGGTCATCGGGTGGGGCTTCACAGAACAGGGTGCGGGTGAGTCCGGGTTCGGGCCGCGGGGCCGGGGGGCAGTGTTCAGAGGGGCGGGGGGAGGGCCGCCCCTCAGGAGAGCCGTCCGTGGGGCCCGGGTGCCGTGGCCGGGCAGCACCGGGGCGGGCTCCACGGCCAGGACGAGGAGGTGGTGTGTCTCCGCTCCAGGGAAGATGTCTGACGAGCTGCTGCAGGCCTCGGTCCAGGTCATCGACCGGGCGCGGTGCAACGCCGAGGACGCGTACCAGGGCGAGGTCACCGCGGACATGCTGTGCGCCGGCGTCCTGCAGGGCGGCGTGGACACCTGCCAGGTGAGCCTCGCGGAGCGGAGGGTCCCATGGGTGGGAGCTGGGTCCCAGAGAGACACAGAAGCCCGGGCCGGAGTGCCCACGGAGCCTGGCACACGGAAGGCCTCAGTGTGTGCAGATGGAAGGAAGGGACAGAGCAGGGAGAGAGGTGAAGTCGGAGGATGACACGGGGAGGGAGGGAGGGATGGATGGAGGTGAGCAGAAGGATGTGAAGTGGATGCGTATTTCACACCTGCCCCCACCCTGACGTCCCGTCTTCTACAGAGTCTGAGCCCCTGAGGACAGGAATCACATCGGTTTCACTCTCCTGTCCGCAGCGACTGCCCTTCCCTCGAGAGCCCCCTGGTCCCACAGGGACCAATCCCTGGCTATGCTCTCACTTCCCACCCGCGGAGGTTCTTCTGAGACCCTCTCATTAAAACCCCTAACCCTCCCCTGGCTGGTATGGCTCAGTGGATAGAGCATCGACCTGTGGACCAAAGGGTCCCATGTTCGAGTCCAGTCAAGGGCATGTACCTCGGATGCAAGCTCCTCCCCAGCCCCTGGTCAGGCTCGTGCGGGAGACAAACAATCAATGTCTCTCTCACATTGATGTTTCTCTCTGTCTTTCCCTCTCTCTTACACTCTCCCTAAAAATCAATGGAAAAATGTTCTCAGGTGAGGATTTAAAAATAATCCTACCTAATAAAAGAGTAATATGCAAATTGACCATACCTCTGCTACACCCACAAGCCATGCCCATCAGGAGCAAATATGCAGGTAAACCCAACCAAGATGGCTAAGGCCACGGAAAGCAGGAGGGAGACTTGGGTTTCCCAGGCCATGAAGGAAGCCAAGCTTTCCCCCTGCCTTTGCCAGCCTAGGCCTCTGCTTAAGGCTACAAAGTTTCAATTATAGAAGGTAAATAAATCCCAACAAAAATGGCTGCAGCCACAGAGCGAGCAGAAGGCTTGGCTCTGCTCCAGGCTATCAAGTTTCAATTGTAGAAGGTAAATAAATTCCAGATACCAGGGCCTCCGCTTGGGTCACCAGGGGGTGTGGCCGGCCTGGGAACCACCACAGGCCCCTCTCCCAGGCCGTCCCACACCCCAAGGGAGCCCCCACCCTGATCTGGTATACCCGTTAGGGCAAACCAGCCGGCCCCCTCCCATGCACCAGGCCTCTATCCTATCTAATAAAAGAGTAATATGCAGATTGACCATCACTCCAACACACAAGATGGCTTCCCCCATGTGGTCAAAGATCCTGCTCTTAAGTGAACACAAGATGGCCACCACAAATGGCCAGCAGGGGAGGGCAGTGTGAGAAACCAGACCTGTAAGGGAGAGAAGTTGGGGGCGACCAGGCCTGCAGTTGAGGGCAGTTAGGGGCGGCGACCAGGCTGGCAGGGGAGCAGTTAGGCATCAATCAGGCTGTCAGGGGAATGGTTAGGGGGTGATCAGACTGGCAGGCAGAAGCAGTTAGGGGCAATCAGAAAGGCAGGCAGTGAGCAGTTGGGAGCCAGCAGTCCTGGATTGTGAGAGGGATGTCTGACTCCCTCAAAGGGTCCCAAATTGGAGAGAGTGCAGGCTGGGCTGAGGGACACTGCCTCCCCCCATGCACGAATTTCATGCACCAGGCCTCTAGTAATAAATAAATACATAAATATGTAAAGAAACAAACCCCCATCCTCACCACTAGTTCTCTCCCTTGAGAGGTGCCTCTCAGTCACCTCATAGCCAGGTGAGTGCTGGGCTCAGGGACAGTGTCTTCCCTTGGGAGGCCCACAGTGGGGTGGGGACGTGAACAGCAGTGTGGCTACCAAGTCACTGGGTTTGAAGGAAGAGGCCTCAAGGGTCTTAGGAACTGAAAAGATAGACACCCAAGTAAGTGCACTTCTTGTTCTCTGATATCTTGTCTGTGCGCTCACCTCTCCCTCTCCTCCCCCTCCCTCCCCTCTCCTCTCCCTCCCCTCTCCTTCTCTCTCTCCTCTCCCTCTCCATTTGATTCTAAGCTACCCAAAGGCAGGGATCTTGCTCTTTTCATGGGTTGAATCCACTGGCCTAGAACATGCTAACTAACGTGCACTAGCCGTGCTGCCGGCTCAGTTCTGTGAGAAAGGCTGAATGAAAGGAAGACAAGCCGCATCCTTGCTCAGGGCCCTGCACCTGCCGCTGTGAGACTGGATCTCCCAGGAGGGGCCGACTGAACTCTTTCCCCCAAAAGGGAAGGCCCTCCAGGCTGCAGGGACAGTGCGAGCAGAGAGGCAGGGACGCCAGCACGGGGCGGGCGGCACAGGGGGCTCAGGGAGGGAGGACTGGCACGCCCACCCTCCACCCCGCCCGCCTGCCTACCCAGCAGCCCTGCTCTGCCCCCCCCCAGGGAGACAGCGGGGGGCCCCTGATGCATCACTCCGGCCTGTGGCACGTCGTGGGCATCGTGAGCTGGGGCCACGGCTGTGGGGGCCCCAGCACCCCAGGAGTGTACACCAAGGTCGCAGCCTATCTCAACTGGATCCACCGAGTCCTCACGGTGAGGGGCCGCCTCGCAAGCCCTCCCTCCTCCTCTGCTCCCAGGTCCATCCGATGGCTCCATGGCGTGGAGGCAGCTTCCACCGCCCTCCCCGTTGTCCCCACCAGCCATGCAGCCTGGCTGCCCCCGCTGAGGGCTGAGGGTCCTTAGCTCGGAGATGCCGTTCAAGGCACATGCACATGCACATGCGGTAGAGTGCGGGCTGTGCCAGCTGCCTCGCTGAGAACACTTCCCATGGGGGGGGGGGGGGTGCTGAGGCCTCCCGGGGTGGCGGGTGGGGCCGGGCTTGGGAAAGGAAGGTTCATTCTGCACCCAGCACCGCTGTGTCCGCTTGCACACCTCTGACTCCTCTCCACTGTGCTCTTATTCTAGTCGCAGCCCTGACGCCGCTGCCCCCCGCAGGCCTGGGACCCGCTCCCACCCTGCGCTGCCCCCTCGCGGACCCCGGAAGCCGGGCACCGGGCAAGCGCCCCTCGTCCGCCTCTCTGCCCACAGCCGCCCATGTCCCGTCCCTGTGAGAGACCCTGTGCCCACAAGAGCCCAAGAGGAGCTCGGCGGCCCCCTTGGCACCCCTGGCGCTCCCGCACCCGGGAGACCCCGCCCCGGGCCCGGGCTCAGAGGCACCGCCAGGCCGGAAGGGCGTCCCTCTGCTGAGCTGCTGAGGAGACGCACTCTCTGGGCAGAGCCCGTCACTGAGCGCGGGGCGGAGGGGAGCGGGTCTGAGCGAGCCTGGCCCTCCACGCGCCCTCCGTCCCCCAGGCAGAGGCAGCTGCGTTTATTAAACAGGATGTGACGTGACACCGTCCGCTGGGCTGCTTCATCGGAACTGAGCTGGGACTACTGAGCCACATCTTCATCTTTTTATTTAATTTTATTTTCTTTATCTTTATTGTTGAAAGTATAACATATGTCCTCCTTCTCCCCAATCCCCTCCAGCCCACCCACCCCCGGCCCTCACCCCCCCTGTCTGTGCCCAGGGGCCATGCAGAGATGCACACAGGGTCCTTGGTGATTGTCTCTCACCACCCGCCCTGCCCGCCTTCCCTCCGAGAGTCCGCCCTCTGCGCCATGCCCCATGGCTCTGGGTCCACGCCGTCCATCAGTTCATTTTGCTAATTAGATTCCTCATATGAGTGAGGTCATGTGACACGTGTCTCTGACTGACGGCCTTCACTCAGCATGAGGCTCTCCAGGCCCCTCCGTGCTGTCCCAAGGGTAAGAGGCCCTCCTTTCACCGCTGCATCGTGTTCCGTGTGTGAATGCCCACAGCTGCTACCCACTCCTGCTGACGGGCACGTGGCTGTGTCCAGGTCTCAGCTGTTGTGAACTGTGCTGCTGTGAACACAGGGTGCATACGTTCTTCCTGATTGGTGCTTCCGGTTTCTTAGGGCATATTCCTAGAAGTGGGATCTCTGGGTAAATGCAATTCCATGCTGTTCTCCATGGTGGCTCACCAGTCTGCGTTCCCACCAGCAGTGCACGAGGTTGAACCACAGTCTTTATTCTTGGCCCGGGGAGGGACAGGTCTCACGGAGGAGAGGGGTGGGAAGAAGGAGACCAGCCGCTGAGTGGGAGCTGTAGACGAGGGGAGCCAGGCGAGCAAGGCCCCTTCCATACAAGCTGTCAGTCACTGCCCTCCCCCTCCTCCCTCTGTGGTATCAGCCAGGGCCAACGACAACCCCTGACCTGGGAGGGCGATGGCGTAGACCACATGTGTCAAACACAAGGCCCACGGGCCAAATCCGTCCTGCCAGGCCTTGCAATGTGGCCCGCACCGCGCTGTCATCACTGCACTTCGCTGCGTTTCCATCACAATGACAGTTTATGACTGTTCAGTAAACCATTCGGCCCGCGATTTAGGCTGGATTTTAGATTTTGGCCCCTTCTCTGATTGAGTTCGACACCCCTAGCGTAGACAGTCAAGCGTAGACATTAAGTCATGGTTCCCAGGTCGCTGGAGAGAGATTGCGCCTCTGACTCCTAACCAATCTGGAGAGCCGTGGCGTGGCTTTTACCATTCTTTTTTAAGTCACTTATCACCTGCCAGTATGAGGTGGCCCCACGCTGGGTCTGGGAACATAAGTTCCTACACTCAGAGAAGGGAGCGGCCATGTGGGCGAGGTAACTCAGATCCTAATGAAACATGCTCAGTCCTGAGGACGTAACAGAACCCTCGAAGACATACATGTGAATCCATCAGAATCCTGGGCGGCAACTCAGGTGGCGATCTGGGAGCAGCAGCGAATGACAATCTCGGGCTGCCCTGGGGACAAAGACCTGTGTGAAAGCCGAAGAGGCTGGGGAGCCCAGAGAAGAGTCTGGAGGGTAGAGGGGCTGCTGATGCACAGGGCTCAGTGCTGCCGTGTGTGGTGCGGGAGGCAGCGTGCCGCTGCTCAGCTGGTGGCTGTGGTGCAGCGGCTGCTCTGCTCAGTGGGAAGCTGTGTTTGTCTGTGGGCCGGTGGCAGCGGCCTGCGTGGGCTTCGTTGTGAGGACTGTTGTCTGGCGGCTGGATGGCCACTGGCTTCTACAATAAAGGCTTTCTTACACACACCCTCAACCTCTCCCGGCTCCTCCGTCCACCACCCGCGTCCACAGAGGGCCAGCCTGGCAGAGGGCTGGGCCCCACAGGGACCGCAGTGGGCGGGGCTTGAGAAGGAACCTGCCCTGCCGCTGGCTAGTCGAGCAGAATTCAGAAGACGACAGGGACGCAGGCAGCTGTGCTCCGGCTGCTCTGACACACGTTTTGGTACATTCTTTCTTTTTCTTAATCCTCACCGAGGATATTTTTCTACTGAATTTTAGAGAGAGTGGAAGAAAGAGGGAAAGACAGAGAGAAGCACATCGATTGGTTGCCACCTGCATGACCCCTGACCAGGGCCTGGGCCAGGGAGGAGCCTGCAACCAGGGTACATGCCTTTGAGTGTAATCGAACCAGGACCCTTTGGTTTGCAGGCTAATGCTCTATCCACTGAGCCACTCTGGCGAGGGCAGTTCTTTGAATTGTGCGATGCTTTGGTTTGATCATGGGTGAAATGGGCATTGTGATGTCTGCCTTCTGAGAGTTTAATCAGACACAGCAATGTAGGGAGGTAACTGGCAAGCCTGGGAATTTGGTGACTATTTGCCTTAGTCATCACAGACAGAGGTGGGGTCTGCCTGGCCTCCGCCCAGAGGCCTCCTCACCTGCTGCCGAGCCCCTTTCAAAGCCCCTGCAGTTGGAAGCCTACACTGAACTGCCTGCCTGCACACTGTTCCTGCCATTTCAGAAAAGGAGTTCCTGGAATCCTATTTCAACCAATAGGACTGAGGCTTTCTCCATCCAATCACAGCTGCTCAGCTCTGGCCAATCAGAGTGATTCTATTCTGACCAATCAGTACAGTGCCTTTTGCACCAAACTGCAAGGACTTTGAATCCTCATTTGCATGAAGACAGACCAATCAGGGACCAGGGCAGGGACTTCTGGCCATATAAATCAGCTCCTCTCTCACTGAGAACACTCCTTCCTTTAAGACTGGATCTCCCTGATTGAGCTAAAACATGGATGCTGTCTCAGCAGAGCAGAGCAGAGCCGTCTAGCTGGAGGGGGCCTGGCCCAGGGCGGCCTGGCTGGAGTCGCCTCGCAGCTGTGCTGTGTCACCATTGGGTTGTTTTGCAATGAATAATGTTTCCTTTTTCATTTCACCTCAAATTGGGGATTCCTGTTAGCATTGAGTGGGTGCAGGGACCATCTACCATCTGTTGACACCTTGAAGTTTACATTCTAGTTAGAGATGTACAATAAATAAATAAATATGTCAGCTAGGGATAAGTGCTTTGGGAAAAATAAATCAGTAAGGAGACAGTGTCAGCCTTTGGAGATGTTGTTAGACAGGATGGCAGGGAAATGCTTTCTGGGAGATGGCATCTGCACAAAGACCTGATTGGGATGGGGGAATGAGATCTAAATATCTGAGGAAAGGCGTTCTAGCAAAGGAACAGCATATGCAAAAGTCCTGAGACAGGAGGAGGCTGAGGTTTGGAGGAGCAGCAGGGACAACAATGGGACTGAGTGGATGAGTGAGCAGAAGAAGAACGTTCAGTAGAGAGGACATCAGAGAGGCAGCAGCGCCAGAACAAGGCCCTGGGCAACTGTGAGGCAGGAGAAAGGTAAGCTGGGAAGTCATGAGCAGAAGGACAATCTAATTTTTTATAATTTTTAAGATGCCGCTTATATGCAGTAAAAGTCACCATTTTTAGTGCAGAGTTCTTCCAGAGTTGGCAACTGTGTCCAAGCATGCTCTGTAGCTCAGTTACCCCCAAAAGCCCCCCTCCCCGTGTGGCCTCACACCCCCTGTGCCCCTGGGCCGCTGGTCTGTGTTCTGTCCCTGGTTTTGCTTTTCCCAGGACGTCATTCGAAGAGAGCTGCAGAGCAGGCACCTGCCTGACGGATTCTTTCACGTCTCATGATGCACCCGAGACCCAGCACCCAGGCTCGCGGAGCTCCTCCCTGAGGGTACGCCACCGATGGGGACACGGGGTGTGCTCACCCTGCACCAGCGACCGGCATTTCAGTGTTCCTTTCCGTGTGACAAGATCAGGCCTCTGCAAGCACCTGTGTGCAGGATTTTATGTGACACAAGTTTGTGTGATTTCTTCTCACAGGAAATGAGTGTACCCCACCCCCATCTGGAACAACTAAACGGCTGAGGATAGTCTCAGTGGCATTCAGACCTGGCACCAGGCAGGCAGCACAGGCCTCGCAGAGGGAGCTGGCGGCCCGGGACTCAGGCCTCTGGCCTCCCGTGGGTGCCGGCAAGTGAGGGAGCCGCCCCGGCTGAGGAAGGACCCTCCGGGAGCTCACAGGGGCCAGGACAGGAACACTGCACCCTGGGGTAGAACATGGTAAATCCTGGGAGACGGGAAGAATATGCCAAAGGGATCGCCTCAGCAGCGGTGAGATCGGCCAAGGTGACAGCTGTCCCCTAGCCTTGCTGGGGTTCCCGTGTAAGGTCTGAGGCGCAGGAAGGGAGGACCTCACGCCCCTGGCCCTGGGGACCTGCCTGGCACACCAGCTGTCAGCACTCAGGACCCAGGGGCCATCGCAGGCCCTGGCCTTGCCTTGGCCTTCCCCGTCCTCAGCGCCTCCGGCAGCTGCGAGCGCTCTGCCTGGCCTGCAGCCGGGAACCTTCCAGGCCCTGTGCTGGCCTCCATCCCTGCCCTGTGTGTGTAAAGACACCATGTCATTCCCTGTTTGTGTGGTGGTGGTGGAATGGAGTAAATGATCTGCTGTAACCGGTTTGGCTCAGTGGAGCGTCGGCCTGTGGACTGAAGGGTTCCGGATCTGATTCCGGTCAAGGGCATGTTCCTTGGTTGCAGACACATCCTCAGTGGGGGGTGTGCAGGAGGCAGCTGGTCGATGTTTCTCTCTCATCGATGTTTCTAACTCTCTGTCCCTCTCCCTTCCTCTCTGTAAAAAAATCAATAAAATATATATATATTTTTAAAAAGAGTAAATGGTCCCCATTGGAGACCAGACTCAGGCCCAGCAGGGCAGCAGC